TATGTGTGAGGCTTAACGGCCGCCGTGATTGATTTTATTTGGAAGTATTCAAGTATTATGGCCTTCTATGTGTGGGCGGATCTCGGAAGGGTTATGGTGGCTTAGACTACTACTTGAGGATTTGCATGTTCTACGGTTATGAGAATTCACCCGTGTGTTAACAGGGTTCTCTTGGAATGAGTTAAGTAAAAAGTTTCTAGGTGATGAAATGTTTACCTTATGAGTGGTTCAGGAGTTATGATAAAATTATGGCACTATCGCCTATTGGTATGTTAGGTGCAGTAAGCGGTATGAAATTTGGAAGTGAGGATCAAGGTTGTAGTTCGGTGTTGACAAGGATGTCACGAGCTCAGATGAGCAGGAAAGGGATTTGGATGCTTAGAGTAAGTTGGTATTGTCTTCAGCGTCACCCGAGATTGGTGTTTTGTGAAAAAGGGCTTTGCATCATGGTTGTGGATTCTTGATTTGCTTTACAGCGTTAATGCGGCCGGTGGCATGGATGTGCAGACTTGTTATCTGGTACGAAAGGTCGTGGGAGCGTATCCTAGGGGAAGATTGTATAAGTGTGACATGTGGTCGCCTGATTGATTGAAGAGTTAAACCAAGTATGAGGATTGAGGTAGTATCACTAATTTGAGAATTTATGCCTGGAGGGCACTCGATTTATTGGGTTGTGGGCTGTGGAGGTTTGCTTCGGATATGAGGGTTATTTTTGTAAGTCATGGGAAAAAAAGAAAAGGGGTTATTATGGACCTTTGAAAGGTTATTAGCCTAGTATGGTGCGATCAGAATCGGCTTGAGGTCTGTGAATGAATGTAAATATGAAGGTGTGCTTTATATTAGGCCGGATATGTTCATTTCAGCATAGCGCTCCTTATGAAGGAGTATTTGGACGTTGGATGCTATTTCGTCGTCGGCTATTTCATGTAATGCTATATTGGGGCGTGCGAGTTGTGAAACAGCTTGATAAAATTCTTATGTGTTGAGGTTCTGCATAGCGATGGTGTTATGTGAGCAGGATTGCTCTTGTGATTCAGATTATATATCGCACCTCAGTTGTGCTTGGGTTTTGTAGCTTATTGCGCTATCTGTCTTCCCATGGATGGTATTATGCACTTAGTTTGCTTGCAACCGATATTTGGTACATAGTAGTAATGAGCAATTTAGCTCACTGTGTATCTCCTTGTATGAGTTCTATGTTTGGATCGGGTTGCACGCTGCAATAGTGTGATGTTGAGTACAGTCCCTTATATTCTATTTTGTGTGTTTTGTTTCCCATTTTCTGGGGAAGTTCATGACACCTTTTGGTCGTCTAATTAGTTATATGGGTTGAGTAGCCCTTTCTAGAGTTCGTTTTCCTTATGTATCACGTTCAAGTTTGCGGCCTATCGGCATATTTTGGCATCAAATGAGACTTCTAGTCATGTTTGGGGTGGCTTATTGTCTGAGCAGCTTATACTGGGTGAGATGAGAGTGTTGGATCTAGGATTAGTGCAGTCGGATTATATGAAGTATATTAAAGAGCAAATACCATTATTTGTTTCAGAATGAGGTGATGGTCCTTGTCAGGAGTATAGACTCAATGATATGTTGACTCAGCTATTGGTAATGAATTTCTACACCTCTCCTCCGTCGTGGCGGTATTGCAAAAGTTGGGACAAGATTTATATATGTCATAAGGTGCATTGTGAGCATCAGATTCGAGAAATGTCGGTTATTATGATCAGAGAAGGTTATTATGGTCCGTGAATGATGTAGTGCATGGTGAGAATTCAGCAAAGGTATGCAATCTTGTATTGGTGTGTCGTGATTGATATGGTATTCATAGGTTGGAAGTAGGGCTGGCAGAGAATTCCGGATGTTGGAACTGGGCTCTAAGGCTAATTAGCCTAAATGAAAGAGGATATCTTCAGATTTAATCAAGCTAATGTGCTCAACTGAGTTGTGGTAGCACGGTTAGGTGCACGAGGTGTTAAACAATAATTTCAGACTACTCCAGCGCAATTCACATGACGTTCGAGGACGAACGTATGTTTAAGTGGGAGAGAACGTAACGACCCGATCGGTCATTTTGAGCTCTAGCGCGTCGTTCGGCGGTTTGAGGCCATGAGTAGCTTCACTTCAGGTACTACGACTTGTATGTATGGTCAGAATCGAAATTCGGGAAGTTCGGATTTGGATTGGAAAGGAAATTCTCATTTCAAAAGCTTTATGTTTACTTGTCGTACCCTTGTGTTATTTTCATTGTTGTTGTTGTACTCACTATTGTGTTGCACGAGATTTCTGTCGTGCGATTGTTATGGTGTTGCATGAGGATGCTGTCGTGCGATTGATATTGTGATGCACGAGGTCTTTGTCGTGCGGTGGTTATTGTGTTGCATGAGGTTTCTGACGTGCTATTGTTACTATTGATATGTGCACATGTGGCGTGACAAGGCGGGCTATATGTGTGGGTTGTGCATGTGGTGAGACAAGGTGAGAACATTATTATGCGTGTGCGGCGAGACAAGGCGGGCATTCACTTTATTATTGTTATGGAAAGACATGGTGGGCTATGTCAGGGATTGTGATGACTTGTGAAGACCTGGGGGCATTCTTGTTGTTGATATTTGTGTAGTGGCGTACCTGTCTGTGTGATTTTTATCTTGTGAAAAATTATGGGGATCATTTTTACGTGCTGTTCATTTTCTCTACACTCAATAGTTGGCTTGAACTGTGTTAGATCACTTGCACAAGCATACACATAGTAAATCACTCATATCGGTTTAAGAAGATGGATCCTGATATTATTGAGTATTTATACACACCCTCGTCTACTTGCCTTCTATGTGAGAATAGTTCTATTGGCACGTGTGCCGTACGTGTAGTTACCAGTTGTAATGAGGGCACAAGATGCCAAGTGTTTAGGGTTCACGAATTGGGACCCGTGACTTGTGAATATTTTGAGATTTGGTACCTCGTGGAGATTATCGGATAAATCTGGTGTGAAAGTGGTTATTGTTGTCGAGTTGCTAATTGTCCTTCCTTTATTGTTTTCACCGGATTTAGATTGTGTTTAGCTTACTCTATTATGTTATCACTTATTTTGTTCCGCTGTTAATTGTTGCTTCTATTTCTTATTGCAAGTACGGTAATATTCTTTTCATTATGCATAGTTTTTGTCATGACCCAAAATCTACTAGTCGTGATGGCACCTAACCCAATCCGCTAGGTAAGCCAGCTAATAACTATCTAATTCTAATAATATTAATAAGACACTAAATACAAGGTTTAGTAAAAAGTTCGTCTTGAGTAGAAACTTTCTCTCTCTAAATGCTCTCGGCACATTTTAGCGTGAATATACTAAAATACGCCATCAGCCATGGGAGGAAGAGGACGACCTAAGAAAACTGTAACGAAGATCCAATTAGCTGAATTCGTAGCAACAACGAGTAGAAATAGCAAATCAAACAAGTCTACACCAAACCAAGGCGCACAAAATCGAGATCTGGAGGTGATAACACCAAAGGCAGGAGTGATCGAAACTGCGAGTGCTAGTAGGAGCTTGAATGTGCAATTTATGAACAAACAAGCTGAAATTCAACAGAAAGAGGTACAAAATTTGAATAACACAAGTAGTAAAAAAGGTGAAGGAACACATACAGAGGAAATTCGCATCGAGAAACAACCAATCGCGATAGATAAAAGTGCAGAGAAAGTAAATGATGGTAATTCATGGGCAAATCTGGTTGCTGGTAGCACGTTTGCTGCTAGAGGAATGGTACTATCGTTTGTGGCACTAGTGATACAAAATGATGAAAAAATTGTTGAATTACAGAAAGAGGAAATTGAAAAGGAAGTAGAGAAGTGGAAAACGACAGTTATTATGTATGTGGTGGGAGATACACCAAGTATTGGAGCAATTGAGAGGTTTATTGCATCGCAATGGAACTTTGTATCAAAACCGAAGGCATACTATCATAATGATGGCTTTTTTGTAGTGAGATTCAAAAACTAAGAGGAAAGGAATGAAGTACTATACTCAGGACCATGTACAAACCAAAACAGACCAGTAATCACTAAGGCATGGACAACAGATTTTAATTTCACTGAAGAGGTGCTGAAAACACTGCCGCTATGGGTTAAACTACCAAATCTGCCTCTAAATTGTTGGGGAATGGATTCCTTGAGTCGTATAAGGAGTGGATTGGGAATTCCAATATATGCAGATGAATGTACAACAAAGGTGGAAAGGATATCCTATGCTAGAATCCTTGTGGAAATGGACATTACAAAGCCATTACCAACAAAGATAATAGTTAAGGATCCGAGTGGTAGACAATTTGATCAATCAGTTGTCTATGATTAGAAGCCAACGTATTATAGTACTTGCTTACAATTGGGACATAACTTCCAACTAAACAAGCACAGCCACAGATGAACAAGCAGCAGAAACAGAAGCAGGAATGGAAACCAAAAGAGCAGGAGAAACAAGGAAACACAATTCATAAGACACAAGAAGCAGCAGAAAATACAGAACAAGTACCAAAAATGCAGAATACAATAAAAGCAATAATGGAGGAGAACAAAGGATGGCAAGCAGCAAAAGGAAAATCAGCCACAAAGAATACTCAAGCAGCACTAGCAAGAGAAGTAGCAGTAGGTAGTGGATTTAATGTACTTACTGAAGCATGCTTTATTGATCAAAATAGGGAAAATAGAGGGCAATGTAGTTATGGGGGTGGTGTGAAGGATGGGACAAAAAACAACATATTGAAATGCAATTAGCTACTAGGAATGTTAGGGGAATGAATAAGGTGTATAAGCAAAAGGAGATGCAGAAGTTTATTAAAGAGCATAGTATTAGTATTATAGCTATTATAGAGCATAGAGTGCAAGAAAAGTTTTCAAGAAAAATCATCCAAAAAATAGCTCCTAAATGGGATTAGTGTACAAACTATGATGGAGGAGGAAAGGGTAGAGTATAGGTAATATGTGATCCAGCAGAGATAAAATTCAATATGAAAGAAGCTAAACCACAATACATACATGGAAAGGTAGTGGTACTGGACACAAGGCAAGAATTTGATTTCACAGCCATTTATGGGCTGCATACAGTGGAGGCAAGGAAAAGTCTATGGAGGGACTTAACAAGTTGGAATCAATATCAGAGAAAACCATGGATATGTATGGGAGATTACAATGCAATAACGGCAGTGGAGGACAGAATTAATGGAAGCACAGTCCAAGAGAATGAAATAAGAGATTTCAAAGAATTCCTAATTGATACAAGAATGTGTGAAATGAGAACTGTGGGTAGGGACTACACATGGACTAATTCACATGTGTTTAGCAGAATAGATAGGCCAATCATAAATGCAGAATGGATAAATACCATGCCACATGTAGATGCAGTGATTATGGATCCTCTATTCTCAGATCACTCCCCATTATGTGTCAAGATTGGAGATGAACAAAAGACCCCAAAGCCTTTTAGATTCTTCAACTGTCTAGCTGAGCATAAGGATTTCTTAGATGTAGTGGGGGAAGCATGGAATAAAGCACCAAAAACAGGCAAAATGGCAGAAGTCTGGAGAAAGTTGAAGGAAGTTAGACATGCATTAAAGAGGCTGAACACAAAAGAATTTAAGCAGTGGATTTGAAGGTTAAAAATGCAAGACAGAAACTACAGGAGATACAAGGGCAGATGGGAACTAAAAATGTATCAACACAGAGGTTTGAAGAAGAGAAAGATCTAAAGCAGCAATTGGAGAAATGGACAACTATAGAGGAAAATATCTATAACCAGAAATCCAGGAACCAATGGCTGAAACTAGGGGACCACAATTCAGCATTGTTCTTTGCTAGCATGAAGAATAGAGTAAATCAAAATAAGATTAGAAGTTTGAAAAATGCAGATGGAGAAATAATTCAATCTAGGGAAGCAATAGAAATAGAAATAGTGGAATCCTATAAAGGGCTATTGGGATTAGCAGCTGATAGCATACCAGCCATACAACCAGGCATCATGAAGGAGGGCAATATGCTAGATAGGATGCAGCAGCTAAAGCTAATTGAAAATGTTACTATAGAAGATATTCAAAATGCTTTGAAGGGAATAGATGAACTAAAGGACCAGGATGTGATGGTTTCAACTCAAAGTTTTTCAAGAAAACATGGGGAATTACAAGGCAAGAAGTATCTGAGGCAGTGCTCCAGTTCTTCAACAAAGCTGAAATATACAAGCCTATTAATGTAACAACTGTTACTTTGATCCCTAAGATTCAGCACCCTTCAACTGTCAAAAATTTCAGACCTATTTCATGCTGCACAGTACTATAGAAGATCATCTCAAAAATTTTGACCAGCAGATTGCAAAGGGTGATGGATCATCTAGTAGACAAGAGTTAATCTGGTTTTATTCCTGGAAGAGTCATAACAGATAACATAATCCTAAGTCATGAGTTGGTGAAAGGGTATGGGAGGAAGGGCATCTCTCCTAGATGTATGATAAAATTGGACTTGCAAAAGGCATATGATTCTGTAGAATGAGATTTCTTAGAACAAGTGTTGAACAACCTAGGAATTCCAGAGAAGTTTGTAAAATGAATTATGGTGTGCATTAGAACAGTATCCTATTCCATTCTCATCAATAAACCAATGGAACCATTTCAACCTAGAAGAGGACTAAGACAGGGTGACCCATTGTTACCATTTCTATTTGTAATAGGTATGGAATATCTTACAAGAAGCTTTAAAACACTGAGGTATAAGCCGGATTTCAATTTCCATCCTAGGTGTGACAAGTTAAATATCATCCAACTGGGGTTTGCAGATGACCTGATGCTATTCGGCAGAGGTGATACTATCTCCTTTCAAATGGTATTCAATTGTTTTATGGAATTCTCTAAGGCATCTGTATTACAAGCAAATACAGCAAAGAGCTCCATTTATTTTGATGGGGTTCCACAGATTATTCAGGATAACATAGTGCAGGTAACTGGATTTAGCAGGGGAGAGTTGCCATTCAAATATCTTGGAGTACCACTCAGCACTAAGAGGATATCTCTGATTCAATGCCAGCCACTACTGGAGAAGATACTAGGCAGGATCACCTCATGGACTTCAAAGTTCTTATCTTATGCAGGCAGATTGCAACTGATCAAAACAGTGATGTTCTCCATACAAATCTATTGGTCACAGATCTTTGTTATCCCTAAGAAGAAAATGAAGGAGATAGAAACAATCTGCAGAACATTCTTGTGGACTGGAGGAACAGAGGCTTCAAAAAAGAGCTTTGGTATCATGGGAAAAAGTGTGTTCACCAAAGACAGGAGGTGGTTTCAATGTTATAGACATTCAGAATTGGAATAAAGCTGCAATTTGCAAATTATTATGGAATCTGTGTAAGAAGAAGGACAAGTTATGGGTCCAATGGATCCACCTATATTATGGGAAGAAGCAAGAAGTGTGGGATAGAAAACCAAGGAATGCATCAGGGATAGTTCAGAAAATAATTAAAGCAAAGAGATACATAGAAGAAGCAGGAGTCAGCATGAAGGAAGTGACAGAATGGAACTACTTCTCTATCAAGAAGTGGTATAATAGCACGTGAGGGCAATATCAAAAAGTATCATGGAGGAGACTAACGTGCAACAATCTAGGAGCTCCAAAGTGGATCTTTGTACTGAATTTAGCTATACAAAACGGGCTCCTTACAAGAAGCAGACTACACACATCGGGGATTGCAGAAGAAGTAAACTGTCCTTTATGTAATGAAGCAGAAGAGACCATTGATCATCTGTTATTTAAATGTCGAATTGCTGGAGATATATGGAACAAGCTACTACATTGGAAAGGAATAATAAGAGAACCGATGGAGTGGAAAAGGGAGATACAGTGGGCTGAAGGCAAAGCAAATGGAAACAATGCATCTGCACAAGTCTATAGAATGACTTTGGCATGTGCAGTGTACCACATATGGAATGAAAGGAACAGAAGAGTATTTCAAGATCAGCAGAAAACAGTGGAAATGATAGTGAGGCAAATTGTACTAGAGGTAGCAATTAGACGATCGAAGAATAGAAAGACAGAAAAGAGAATAGCAGAAATAGATTACTTACTGTAAAGGAGGATACAAGAAACGTAGAAGAGGGAATGGAACTGGGAATGTCCTGTTCCAGATAGAACTTTGTACATATTTGCTATTGGTAAATAAAATCATTTAATTACCAAAAAAAAAATAAGACAGTTAAACAAAGGAAATTCTCTGAATCTTATACATTTCCCAAGGATTGGTAGTACAAATCACGAGCTTCTAAAAATAGAATTTGCAAAGCTGATATGAAGTAAATACATCTTCTATTTGAAAAGTACATAAATAGAGTTTTATAAATTTACGGCAACCGTGAACAAGAGGAAGCTACAATAGGGACGCAGGTACATCTTCTAATCCAGCTCCCGTCGAACACAGCAACATCAGCATCCGAAATCTGCACGCAATGTGCAGGAAGTGTAGTATAAGTACAACCGAGCCCATGTACTCAATAAGTAACAAACCTAACCTTAGGTTAAGAGCAGTGACGAGCTAGAACAAATAACTAATAGCAGTTCATAACAATGTAGAGTATATAGATAAGGATGTAACTAAGAGATAAGAATGCTCAGCTTTTCACAGTTTTCCTAAAATAGTTCCGCTTTCAAAAATATCAGTGAAAACTCAAATCCTTTACCGAAATCGTCGTAAAATATGAGATAGTTTGAAAACAGTAATTTATCTAAAAATCCTTTACACATTAAATAAGATGTTTCATTTTCTTTCCAGATAGCAACTGTGAAATGCCTCTCTATGACCACATATCAATGTGTGTAAAAATGTCATGAATGATGTGATACTGTACACCATCAGGAAAATGCGTCTCTATGCATGCATGTCATATATGCATGCCAATGCCATGTATCCCAGAGATGAATCATGTACTCACACTCTCAGAGTACTCAATCTCATTATCTCACACTTTCCACTCAACATAGTCAACCACTCGGTACTGTATATGGTCCATACGGCCCAGGGAAATCCATCCCGGAACATATACAAATCTGACTATAGTTATTGGTGTTGGACCCGACCTATGTTCTAGCTCGTCACTTCTTTTAAGTTAACTTTAGGTTTGTTACTTATTGAGTACATGGGGTCGGTTGTACTCATACTACACTTCCTGCGCATTGCACGCACATTTCATATGCCGATGTTGCTGTGTTCGGCGGGAGATGGATTGGAGATGTACCTGCATCCCTGTTGTAGCTGCCTCTTGTTCACGGTAGCCGTAGATTTATAAAACTCTATTTATGCACTTTTCAAATAGAAGATGTATTTACTTCATATCAGCTTTGTAAATTTTATTCTTAGAAGCTCATGATTTGTTCTACCAGTCCTTGGGAAATGTATAAGATTTAGAGAATTTCCTTTGTTTAACTATCTTACTAATATTATTGGAATTAGATAGTTTTTAGTTGTCTTACCTAGCTGGTTGGTTTAGGTGCCATCACGACTAGTAGATTTTGGGTCGTGACAGATTGGTATCAGAGCTCTAGGTTCATAGGTTCTACAAGTCATGAACAAGTGTCTAGTAGAGTCATGCAGATCGGTATGATGACGTCCATACCTATCTTCGAAAGGCTACAAGACATTTAAGATATACTTCCCACCTTTATTTCCTTATTGTGCGGCATTGATTCAACTTGAAGAGCAACTCTTTGGATTTCTTCATGCATTTGTATGCGCACATGAGCGCTCGGTATCAGCTGTGCATCGACGGCTTGTGATTCCCAGGATGAGGTGCGATATGTGATTTCTGTGTGTTGATGATGGGCTAGTTTGGAGGACTTGAGGTCGGGTTTTGATTGTAGCTTGAGCACAGAGATGTGTATTGTGAGAGCACGTGCTGTTGGACTTATATGTCTAGTAGCATCCCCATGAGTGGAATTTGTGGCTCGATGAATGGTTGGATGGCTATGTAACGGGTATGATGTGACTGTGGAAAGTGTTCATATTGTTCGAATGTGACGAAAAGAGTTTGATTGGGACGTAAATCTGGTGCTTGATTTCCGTCTTGATTTGATGTATAGTCTCGAGTTATGGGTGTGTTGAAGGATATTTTCATGTTGTTTAGTTGAGGAGTGAAGTAGATTTTCATGTCGTGATATGAGTTCAGAGTCAGGAAGATTAAGTGATTGCGTAATAGTTATTACTGTGGAAGGGTATAAAGAGATGTTAGTTTGTGGCGAAGCAGGTGGGTTATCTCCTGCGGGGTGTCATGAGGTTTGAGTGATCCTTATGTTGTTTTGTAATGACTCCTCTTTTACCAGTGAATTATATGTGTTGCAATTTGAGTTTAGATCGTCTATGAGAGTTGCCTTGACTGTTACTAGGGTGAATGCGAGAATTGTAGATGATCTGAGATATTAGATGGTTTGTGTTACATGAGCTTATGAAGGATTTGGTTGAATTTCAGTGGGGGATTTGGTAGCAACAAAGTATGGGTATTGTAAGTTATCAGATGCTTTATTCCTTGGCTTTGCGCCAAGTGGGGGAGTCTGTTATCGACGGGTTGTATTATGTTTTTCGGGTATATGGGGAAACATTGAATGATTGAGTTGTTTT